TTATAATGTTGTTACCTGATTGTCTTTATGATTCCAATCTGACATACATGTCCATTCGGAATGGACATAAATTCCAAATGGACATACAACACTTACACTAAACTATAAGATAAGTCACTTTTAAAATCCAAGCTCTAGCCAGAAACCCAATCACAAAGTAAAGGGGGGCGAAGCCCCTCATAACTCAAGCTCTAGTTTATTTACTATAAAATAAGTTTAACTCATTCTATCCAACCAAATAATTGTTGAACTGTATTCCTATACATACTCTTTTATTTTCTTAACATTCTTTTCTATAGCCCCCATCATAGAAGTAATTTTGACTTCTGCTTATTAGTAAAAACAAAAATTCAATCCTTTTGTTATAGTCTGAGAACACGTGGAATAATACAAAATAGTAGAACCATACAATATGTCGATTTACAGTATATTGTTTGGTCTTGAAAGCGTATGCATTGTTGTGCCTTCTTAAGATTATACAGCATATGATATGACGATCGCCCCCACACGTTAATTGGCTCTTTATTTCCGTATACGCAGTGCTGAGAACTTTGCAAACTGTAAATGTTTAAATAAACGTTCAAACTTAAATGTGAAAGAGTCACACACTCATACTCACTCTCGCTGCCGTGACTTTTGCTTCTGCTACGTTATCACGGCTACAGTGACGGTTGATGTTGTCCAAATGGCTCGAAACTGTGGTGATAGTAGTGATAACAGATACAGTAGCGTGGCGGTACAATAGCTTACTCAGTAATAACACTTTACCACCGAGCTTCTGAAAATGACCGACGTCGTCCTAATGTATGTGTTCAGTCATATGTAACCTGGACATGTTTTTTATGTTTGTTGAAAGCAATGGTAATTACCCATCTTTATTAACTCTCATTATAATAACCTCATTAGACAGTATAGTTTTGATACGGCTGACACTTTACCGAAGATATTACTATTCAACAAACTACGGCCTTATTATCGTGTCAGCTTGTTAAACCGTTCAACGCATTTGTGTTGAGAAACTGTCATTGGTAAAGAAGACAATACTATCGAAGTTAGTAGAACAAATACAGCGTTATTATCTATTAAGAAGGTATCGATTTACAAACTCTTTCTTATCGTATTACTGATAAGCCCCATATAACTGTGCACACTTTAAATTTAAACTGTTTGATACTGTGACCCTAATAAAAAATGCGACCAATTTATAATAAAAAATCGTGATTAAAGCCAAGATGCTCTAAACTTATACAAATCTTATTGATCAAGCGTGCTAAACTTGATGAAATTAAATTAATGATTAGAAACCTACTCGATTATTAATTATGCCCTGCTTATATGATATTTATTGGTATTTCATGTTTAGTTATATTACATTCTTGTGATAACAAATTGACCTCCCCACAATGACTAATGCAAAGTCGACTATGTATTGTATAAGATGTTATTATTATGACAATTTAATAAGTGTGGGGAATTACTTTTAGCAATGATATATCAATGTTACATGTCAGCGAACTGATAAAGTATAGTGATGGTTATTGTCAAAAACTTGGTGACTAATTGCAACCGAGTTTGAGTTTTAGACAAACCACTACCAGTTAAAGGAAAAGGAGTATTACTGGGACTAGGAGAATTTGGAGATGGATTTGATGGAGGAGGCGGAGGATTTGATGAAGGAGGCGGATTTGATGAAGGAGGCGGATTTGATGAAGGAGGCGGATTTGATGAAGGAGGCGGATTTGATGAAGGAGGTGGATTTGTTGGAGGAGGCAGATTTGTTGGAGGCGGAGGATTTTCTGGAGGAGGAGGAAGGCTGGGAGGAGGGGTGTTGCCAGGACCAGCATTACAAAAAAAGTCAGGTGTGCAAACTTTGTCAGGGGGGCAGCAACCACTACCACAAGGTATATCTTGGGCAGTGCATGGAATGTTGCAGCTTTGACTGTTAGGTATGCATGTCGCAAGTGTAGGGCAACATCCATTGCTATTTGGACATGGAACATATGTTGGATCACTGCAGCCACCAGGAGTGCCAACATTACAAAAAAAGTCAGGTGTGCAAACTTTGTCAGGGGGGCAGCAACCATTACCACAAGGTATATCTTTGGTAGTGCATGGAATGTTGCAGCCGTCAGGTAAGCATGTTGCAACTGTAGGGCAACATCCATTGTTATTTGGACATGGAACATATGTTGGATCATTGCAGGTACTAGCGTTTGCTAATAGAGTAAATCCCGTATATTTTCCGATAACGTCCGGAAAGTTTGTGATGCTAGATTTACATTGTAACTGAGGATTCGTGATGGGAGATCTACTTAGTAGCCCAGGTGTAGCAGAAGCAAAAGTTACGGCAATGAATAAGAGTTTTAGGGCGAGACTCTTCATATTAAGTTCTCGCAGGACTTGACACAATATCCTGATGCGAATTAATTCTTCGTGTCGGACCTGCGCTTTTATGTTGGCTAGTGTAACACCATATATAAACAAAGGGTCCTGTGTCACTAATTTAAATAATACGGTACTTAATATTATAAACTGTAAAACTTAAATGGACTACAGTCGAAGGAATTCTGGCTCCCCCGTTTTTTAAATAGTAAAATTCCCTCGTTATAACGAATTTAATAGTAAAATCTCGTTATACCGTTACCGAAGTTCGATGCAGGATTTTTACATGGGCTACTAATCGCTTTATACCGAAGTTTTGTCACGGGATAAAATTATAGAATAGTGATTGGTTGTAGCAGATGAGGATCATACGATTTTTCGCATCATACGATTTTTCGCATCATACGATTTTTCGCATCATACGATTTTGACAGTATTAATAGTAGTTGTGTGCCATATATCGAATGTCTCGTTATACCGAATCGTGGATGCCTCCCCCGACATTTCGGTATAACGAGGTTCAACTATAGTTGACAAAACTATAACGATGGTTAACTTGTCAAAAATCATAACAATTTATTTATGTCGATCGCGCAATGCTAATTGATGTATACCTACGTTCTGTAGTAGTTATTTATGAACGAACATACAAAGTAGATGCTTGACAATAGCTTGTTTATAGTCTAACAAGTTTTATTACAATACGGCGTCTTTAATTTATGTCGTACAATGCATGATATAGACGATTTGAATTGTGCGTCGACAAACAGTAGTTTCGGACATTAATCCCGAGATATTTGACTCAGCACAGAGATCTGTCTATTAGCAAAGACGTCATATTTGTGAAGAAAATTTCATCTTAGAAGACAAATAAGCAACATATTATTCTCAGAAAATCTGTGCTACCATGCACTACGATAGATTATCGGGAATTCTTGGCATGCATCAAATGTACTTTTTTGTGAGAATCAAATACTCGGTTTAATGTTAAACAGAGTTGAAAATTATTTGCCGTGGCAAAAGACTGGGTGCTTATAGCCCACAAACCAAGAATTAAGACAGTTTTATGAAAGTAACTTAGAAATAAAGACTTATATAGTGATACAGTTCGACGGTTATTTGGACGTTGTTTTGGATAGAATGAGTTGAACTCTAGATGATTTACCTTCGGGAGAGTATCCGGTCGAGTCAAGCTTTTCTCAATATTTATATTGTGCAACTATACATTACCAAATTTTGATAAACAAAAAGCGTAAAAAATTCACACTTCGAATGCAAAATCGAATTGGCCCGAATGGGCTGGAAGAACTCATTGCTCGTATTATAAAAACACTGTTACAAATACATATTAATTCAACATTAATCCAAGGATTAAGAGCACTATGAAAATTACCTTTCATGAATAATATTCCCTTGTTGCAACTTTCGGAAAATAAACTCTTCGTCAAGTGGGAATTTGTATTGATTATCGGAACTGTTGTTACGCAAGCAGAAACGTTGTTTTTTTCTTGCATACTATAGATTTTACTGGTTTTGGGGTTATAATAAGAGAACTAAATTCTCATTTCAATATTAAACAAAAAGTAGAAATAACTTTAACTTGATATTTCAGAAGAGCGATAGAGTCATGACATAATTGCAGGTACCATTTGCTAAGCTGTGTGAAATTATCAATATGCAGTGAAGGCCTACAGTAGTAGAAGATGATAGGACAATGCGAGAATTTAAATTATTTACGTCGATCGCTATGTAGTAGTGATTCTCTGCATAGCATCGAACACATATATTATTCTCGACGGTAGAATTCCAAGTTAACTTGGAGAAAATACTCACAAGAGTGTTATTATTATCCCCTGGCATATTAAATTGGCTAACAATTACAATTGCATACTCTCTCGAACGGTAGAATAAGCGGAGGTAATTCTCAAGTACATCGATTCCATTTTGATATTAAATTTCGGTTTTATATCAACGCACTCTCTCTGCCGTTGACATGAATTGTTGCCCTAGGACAGATTATCCATACTCAGAGATCTAAGGCGATAGCCAAGTCTGTGTTCCTCAGTGATGGTAAGCGGAACGTATTTCACAGTGAGTATGTAGTCATGCCCAGTAACTAACATTTCTTCGTTCATCACTCACTGGAATCATTAATTCAAACATACTAGTCGAGTAAGTACTAGAAATAATAGTCATTAAAACTGCGATTCCGAGTCAACGGGAAAACTTGTTCTCATTGAAACGAATAGAAGTAGTAATAAGGATTTAAATAAAAAATTCGATGTTAATGAATCATTAATCGCATTCCTCCAAGAATCGTTTTTTCAGTCGCGTCGAGGTGTTTAAATGAAAATAATATTTGGGAGGTTGGATATGCTGTACCTTTCGGGACCATCTCAGTCTAGAACTCGGTCATCTTGGTCCAGAACTGAGACATGTCCCGAACAGTGTCGCAAACAATGAAAATTAAGGGTTTTTGCCGATCATTTGCCGATCACTATTGAATGAAAAGCTACGTTCATGAAAACTATATCAATACACACTGCAACGCCTGAATTATAAGAAAATGGCGCTATTTTTTTTTTTTTTTTTTTTTTTTTTGTTATAAAATAGTGGAGAAATATTACTAAAAATAAGTTTTGCACATGCAACCTCATAATTTTGTCAAAGAAAACAAAAAAGCATTACTTGTTTATAGTACAGCTTTTTAAGTACGTATATATAGACTTAATGAGCACAGCTTCAAAAGTCTCAGGTCTTAAGAGATTAAATGTTTTTACTGTTGAAAGTGGTCGGCAAAAAAGACTTCGTCATATGAGGCTTCCCCCTATTTTTATGACAAGGTTGGATCGCTGCAGCAACATCTGGTCACGGAGCATAGGTTGGATCACTGCAGCAACATCCATTGCCATCTGGACATGAAACTTCGTTTGGATTGCTGCAGCCACCAGGAGCACAATAAAAATCAGGTGTGCAAACTAGGAGTTTTGCGTTCTTTATTTGTTTACACCTACGATTGAACGCTAAAGGTGTAAGGTGTGCAAACTAGGTCAAGGGGACAGCAACCATCACCACAAGGGTTATTTTGAATCTCTTGAGTAGTGCATGGAATGTTGCAGTGGCCGTCAGATAAGCATTTCACGTCTGGAGGACAACATTCAATGCTATTTGGACATAGAAC